TTGTAATAATAAACCTTTAGATGTTAGATGCTAAAGGATTGGCCCAGCGTGATTTGTGGGTAAGGTCCAGAGGGTAAATTGACCAGGGATCTGTGGCTGGTTTCTTGGAACCGGACAGAACTTGTTCAGGGTAGGTGGGATTGGGTGCTAGGACCCCCCACCTGTGTATAGGCCCGGGGCCATCTGGGGCACGGATATTGCTGGGGTGTCGGAGCGGTTTTGCTCGTGAGGCTTCAGGCAGGCAGCTGAAGCGCTCTGTGGGACTGGTTTGTGGCCTGGTTGGAGAGGTCACCAGTCTGGGGGCTGTAAGGAGCCCCGAGGTTGAGCAATTTGCCCTGAGCGGACACCCTCAGCTGTGCCCAGACACGGCCCGGTCTGTCACAACCTCATATTAACGTATATTGAGTGCAGATTCAGGTCTCACATTCTATATGTACATATTGACCTATATTCCAAAGAGCACTTTTACACAAAGATTAATGAAGAGAAAAGCCATACCGGCTCTGTTTCTCTGTATCCAACAGTCTTTGTAACTCTTGCACCCGACATTCAAACTGGGACTTTTCATCCCCTAGAACGCTTCTCCATGCTTCCCACTGACGTTCCTTCTCTAGCAGTTCATCATTCAGGGCCTCCAAGTCCATCACCTGCTCTTCTAGCATAGTGCATGTTGTCTTCAAGGCCACCATTGTCTAAAATGAAATCCTCCCATTAATTCTCACTTCCTACATCAAACATGTACTTTTTAAGATACTATAATTGAAATGGTGAAGTTGTATGTGCAAATCCACATCATCAACTGGTAAGTCACATCTCATTTATTTCAAGGCCTGTATCTTTATGCATTTAATCGTGGTTGCCTTTAATGTCAGTGAAACCTCATGATGGTTTTAACCACAAGCAGAGATGAACAGCTAGGAAACACCATTCTTTGCCAGTGCTGCCATGAGTCACAAAAGAACATACCAAAAATCTCAATGCATTCTTACACTACCTCCCAGAACTGCCATTGTAGGGTCAAATTGCTATAAAAGTTATGCCATTGTTTTTCCAAATTAGAAAGAATTTCAGGCTAGTCAGAGCAGTGGCATAGCCAGAAGGGCCCAGTTGGGTGGGCCCCAACTTCGGGTAGATGGTCAAGAATGGAGGAGGGGAGAAGAGGAGGGATGGAGGGCCTTAAGTCCCAACCCTGCTCCCGTCCAGAGCACTGGGGCAGAGTAGGGTAAGCCCCAGCCCTGCTCCTTGGTTGGAGCACCCGTGATAGAATGTGGGTGGGCAACAGCCCCACTCAAGCCCACCCATTGTTACGCCCCTGAGCATCCTGAAGAAATTTTTAAACAGAATTTCTAAACTCTCACTTGTTTCTGACTGGTGAGCTGCATCTCTCTCTCAGTGATCTCCCGACGGAGGTGGTCAACTTCACTTCGCAGCTGTATTATCTCATCATTGGCCCCAGAGGCCTCATCAAGCTGCTTTGACAAGAAGAAATTCTGATTATTCAATTCTGCGTTGTCCTCACTCAGCTGGTTCAGCTGTTCTTCCAAGTCTGTAATCACCTAAAACGAGCAAAAGAAGTTGGGTTACATGTCAGTGAGTAAAATTCGGTGAAAGGATATTCTCGCTTCTACAGCCACACCTTGCCGAGCAAATAGACAGATCATAGCATTTTTGTCCAATTCAAACATGAGCTCAATTGTAACTGCAGATCTTATGAATGGGCATGAGCTTAGCATGGGCAGACTCCCTCGCTGCTTCCAGAAAGCAGCTTGAGATACATTAATTCTGATTTAGCCTAAAAAAGATACAAATGTAGCAGGACAACTTATGATTAATTTGTTGGCCCACCCTAGAGGTTAGAACGTTTGTTTGTGAGCCAGGAGTTCTAGTTTTATTCCCAGATCTTCCACTGACTTGCTGTATGCCTTATGCAAGGCACTTTACCTGGATAACTCAGTTTTCCCTTCTCTAAAATGAAGATAATACAGAGGTTTTGTAAAATATAACCTTTAAGATCACTAGATGAGAGGTACTATAGGTGATACTATTTGGAAACTGCTTAATTTACTGTAACTAAAATCAGAAGTAGCCATCAAAAGTTATAACTTAGGAAGGAACAGATAGTATCAAGACAACAAAATTCTGGATGGCAGCATGACAACAGAAAAAGGTTGGCAGCACCATCAATTATAGTGGAAAATGCAATACTACCATCAAAAAAAAGCAAGGACTGCCCATTTATTAAACTAAATTGACATCCCGCTATGCAAACTTTGGCTTTTAAAGCTAACCCAAAGTTTTTAAAAAATAATAAAAATGGGGTATTTTCATACAACCCTCCAGTTTCTGTGAGGGGAACCCCCGTGAAAAACTCAAGGGGAGATCAGTAGAAAAAACTTCAGCAACTGCCTGTACTACAAGACCAATGCAATGGGGGGAGGGGGCAGTACCTCATACATCTAATCTGAAAACAGCTTAACAAACAGAACCACAGAACATCATTTAGCACAATTTGTGTTTAGACTGTTCTGGTTTAAATGTTCTGGTTTCCCACCCAACAGTTTCAATACCTCAATATCTGTGGTAGAATATACAACTCCTTTCAGCTTTTCTGAGGGGAATGCAACCATTTCTTTTTGGCTACAGGCTCTAAAGCATACCCATGGCAACCTTCCACTATGCTTCTCCTAGATCTAAACCAACAGTACTTGCCTTTTAAACTGTTGGCACAAAAGATGGACTTAAACTATTTCCTACAACATGAAGGGGGGGTTCTGTCCACCAATTGTTTTGGGCCCACTCATAAGGTGAGTCATACATTCAACATCACCAACTTACATTTTCAATACTGTGGATGTTACTAGAACACTCCTACTGCTCTACTGAATGTAAACATTTTTTCCTGGTATCACTTATACATCATATAAGTTATTTAGGTACCATGATTGCACCATGAGGATGCCAGGCTCTATATTGTTAAAAGCAACATCAACTTAGAAATAAAAAACAGAAACAATACTTCTCTCTGCAAATGTGACAATGGAGATTTCTGTTACACGTCAGACCAGAGAAACGTTTCATCACCTCCCTTATACAATCAATTTCACTTACAGTTTTTAAAATATAAGAGTGAGTGTAAGACTGCAAAAGTTGGCAGGATGACTCAGTGGTTGGAGTATCACTTGAAACAACTGAATTCATTTTTGTTCAAACTGACTAAATTTCAAGATGACAGCATCATCCCTTTAGGGTGAAAGCTAACCTTCCATTATAAACCTGATTTTGACTCACTTCCCTCAACCTCGCCAAAACTAAACCAATCTGCCTGAAGTTGTTGATCTTATTCCAGAATAGAACATTTCTAGAAAGTATGAGACAAATCATACAAAGTACTTGAGAGATGAAGGGTTCAAAAATGGAAGAAATAATGTGATCTCACTTCTTGATCATCATTTTGGCTCAACTTAACTCCAAAATGGCTTCACCTACAAATTACAAATGTATTTTGATCTAATGGTTTTGGTAAGGAATGCTCTTTCTGACTAGGGTTTTTCTTTCCACAGACTGTACGGAGGAAGGGGAGATTTGCTGACAGATTTAATTATAAAAAAAATCAACTTTACATTATGGTCCCAATATGGAGTTTATAAATTCTACATAGCCTAGACAGTCACAACAGGAGCAGCAGCATGAGGGCAACCACATGGGAAACAGGCCAGATTTGGAGTAGTAGATGAGAGACAGCGACACAGGAAGGTGGAAACCAGTTGTACAGGAGGGCTACGTCTAGACTGGCATGATTTTGCGGAAATACTTTTAACAGAAAAATTTTTCCGTTAAAAGTATTTCCGCAAAAGCGCGTCTAGATTGGTCCCGGAGTTATCGTTATAATGATGCGCTTTTGCGCAAAAGTGCGTCTACATTGGCGGGACGCTTTTGCGCAAAAGCAGAAGCCCGGAACCATTTTGAAGAGGGCAAAAGGGCACCAGCCCTTTCTGGGGACGGGGGCTGGAGCTCCGTTCAGACACGTGCTTAAAGGGATCTCCCTGCACAGCCGTTTCTCTCCTGCTGCGTGTGCTAGGACCTCTTGCAGGGACTGACAGCCGTAGCAGTTTTGGTGGTTGCCCTCTGCCTTTTGGTCACCACTGCCTTTTACCACTTAGTGCCTTTGCTTGGTTTTTTTTTCATCTCCCTTGTTTTTTCTGCCATGGAGCCACGGGTGGCCATGTGCCTGCTCTGGCCCCTGCCGGCCATTTTGGAGTGCCTGCCGCTGGTGCTCCAGGCTGCTGCCCTCCTGTTCCAGGACCTGGAGGCGCAGGTCACTTTGGACTCCCTCACCAGGGAGGTGGTGGCGTCCCTGTGGCATCCCCACTCCAGCGTGGAGAGGCCACTGTGGAGACTGGACACCAGTACGGACTGGT